CTCCCTTTGAACCTGCTAACTGTAAGCCAGATTTGACGGGTTTGGCTCCTACCCAGACTACATGCAGGAGTCTCAGGTGTTCAAGAACGTCGGTCGCATCGCCATCCAGATGTACCTGTTATTCCAGCACCACACCACCATCGATATTCTCCGCAACGTCAGCAACGACCTCGACCTCTTCACCATCACGGGCCAAGGGTGGCACTTTGTCAAGTACCTCGGTCCTGCCGTCGTCGTCGTCGGACCCGACTGCCGCTCCGAGCGGAACCAAGGTCGTGTCATGGCCGGCCCGACGTACCAGGGCATCTTCCCCAAAGTGGCCACGCTGCCGCCGAGCGTGCAGCACTGCATCTGGATGGTCTCGGTCCCTGTCGTCTACCCGCGCCTTGAGGCCATGGAGAGCCTGGCGACGGCGGTCACGACGGGTAAGAAGGTGGTCAACACGGGCTACAACGTACTCGGCAAGGTGACGAGCTCGGTCGCTGGGATCGTCGGTGGCAAGGAGGTGGTCGCGCAGGGTTTCAGCCAGGTCAAGAAGGCGGTCGGCAAAGGTGGCCTCATGGGCAACGTGCTGAACCAGTTTGGCGACATTGATTTGGCCGAGGTCTTCAAGGACATGTGGACGCACGACTCGAAAGACCTTGAGAGGACCTATTTCATCCGGACATTGCAAGGCATTGCCCAGCAGAAGGGCGTGCGTATGACATTCTTGTCAGGAGGTGAGCCAAAAAAAAAAAAAATCTGCATATCCCTTCCATCCTCCGTGTACCAAACTACAAGAAGCTAACATCAAACCAAATACAGACGTCAACACGGCCGGCGCCGGTCTCGTCCACGACCCTTCGCACCCCAGCGACCACAAGACGATGTACCAGATCATCACGTCGCCCATCGTAGCCCAGCCGGCGAACAGCTACATGCTCAAGCTCCTCCACAACAACAAGCTCCTATACGTGCCGCAAAACGGCCAAAAGTCCACACACGAGGCGTCTGACACGAAGGAAGACATGATGGAGATCTTCCACACCGACGCGTCGGGGGCGGCGCGCGAGCTGAAGAAGCTCATGGCGCGCCGCAACTATATCGCCGGCGTCATGTACGATCCGGAAGCCGTCCAGCAGGCCGCTTCTGCTACGTACTCGTCCAACGGGTCGGTCATCAATGGCGGGCAGCAGGGCTTGACGAAGCTAAGCTTGGCTATCGATTTTGTCGTGCAGGGTGATGGAGCCTTTACGGCGCCGACCAAGTACGGACCTGTCATCGTCCCGCATTTGGAGTACGGTCGTTAATACGGCGGGATTAATGTGGTCTTTTTGCTATTTTGTGTTTTTTCTTGAAGGGTTTGAACCTTTCCCCATTCAAGACTTGGAGCTTCGGTCATGCATTTTTTGGGGGTGTTATTTGTCTGATGGCTGTGCAGTGGATGGATGTAGATGGAGTGCATCTATCCATTCTAGGCAGTGTGAGATGAGAATTGACCATTGACAAGTTCCTACATCAGCCGCTGTAGGCTTGCTCGCTTTTGGGTATTGTTAGTGCTCTTGCCCGTGTTCTTTTCTCTTCTTCTTTTTTGCTTCCTTTCTTCGACAGCGTAGGGGTCGAGGCCCCTCGCCTTTCACCAAGTCCGTGTGAGGGTCGCTGTGCGTTTGTATGTAAGACTCTTTGAGTGGCCGACGACGATCATTATTACAGGGGCTAGACTCGATTCTGGACAAGGAGATGCGTGCGAGAGTATGAAAGTACGGAGAGGTGGATCGCTTTCATATGTAAAGCTTCATCCATCATCGTCTTGGTGCCGACAGACCGAGGCAGAGAATACAAGGCTCCCCGTTCAGAACTACACAATGTCGATGTTTAATATCTTCACATCCTCCTCCGGCTTTTCCTTGTATGTCCGGACGTTCTCAATCTTGTGGATGACGTCCAGGCCTTGCGTCGCACGTCCGAAGATGGTATGCTTGCCATCAAGCCAGGGCTGCATCGAGTTAGTCTCTTGAACCAGGTTGTCGGGACTCTCTTAGGGGGTTCTTTTTTAAAAAAGTAAAAAAAATTGGGCAGTGCAGGACGTCGAAACTCACCGTCTTCTCCGTGGTAATGAAAAACTGGCTCCCATTGGTATTGGGCCCCGCGTTGGCCATGCTCACCGTATAAGGCTTGTCGTGCCTCAAGGTGCTAAACTCGTCCGCAAACTCCTTGCCCCAGATGCTCTCGCCGCCCGTGCCGTCGCCCAGCGGGTCGCCGCCCTGGATCATGAACTTGCGGATGACGCGGTGGAAGATGGTGTTGTTGTAGTAACCCCGCCTGCTGTGCGTCACAAAGTTCTCCACCGCCTTGTGCGCCGCGTCGGGGAAGAGCCGGACGTGGATGTCGCCAAAGTTGGTATGCAGGACCGCCGCCGTGCCCGTCGTCTCGGCCCGCTTCGCCGTCTCCGACGCCTTCCGCTGCCCCAGCAGCACCGTCGGCTTCTCGTTCTGCACGTCCCGCGTCGCCCGGGAGACCTCCGCCTCGTTGGTGAACAGGTAGAACCGCCCCTTGTTCACCGCCGTCGCCACCAGGATCGGGTCCCGCGTCTCCGACTCCTGCAGCAGCGGGTTGTTGGACGCGCCCATCTCCACCGTCGTGATGCCCTTCTTCTGCGGCTGGCCCTGGTAGATCGCCAGGTGCACGGCCCGCAGGTGCTCGTCCCGGCCGTACACCTTGACGACCTGGTTGGTGTACGTGTTGAGCACCTTGATGCCCAGCATGGACCCGTAGATAATAAAATGCCCCGACTCGTCGAAGATGACGTTGGCCTTGTCCCGGTACGGCGGCGACCCGATCTCCTTCTCCAGCGCTACCCTCCGCCCGAACTCCACGGGTTCCAACTTTCGGATGGCGGTGCCGGCCTGCTGCATCTCCTCCATCACCTGCAGCGACTCGTCGTAGGTGCGGTGCAGTTTGCCCGACGCGAAATCGAACACGCGGATCTTGCGGTCGGGCTGCGAAAAGGCCACGAACTGCTTGCCGTCCGGGGAGATGGTAAGGGAGGTGGGCACGGCCTTGGCCTTTTTGAAGTCGAAGAGATTCGTCGCGGCTTTGAACTCGAACACGTTGTCGGGCTTCTCGTAGTCCCCGCCGGGCCTCCAGTACTCCACGAGGCCCTTCTCGTCGACGGAGACGACGCAGTCGAAGCGGTGGTTGAAGGCCATGATGGTGACGGGGCTCCTGTGCAGCGACTTGATGGTGTGGACGGGCTCCTGCTTCTCGCCACGCCCGTCGAAGATGTGCACGAGCGGCTTGTCGGACTCCGACACGGCAAGGAGCGGAAGGGAGGCGCCCCTCTTGTGCACCCAGCACAGACACCGGGGGGCGAAGGAGAGGTTGACCATGGCGAGCAGGTCGAAGGTGATGACGTCGAAGATCTTGAGGGTCTCGTCGGCGCCGGCCGTCGCGAAACTCCGCCCGTCCGCGCTGACGGAGACGGACCTGATCTCCCCCTGGTGCGCCTTGAACTCCTTGACGAACTCGATCCCTTGGGCCATCTTCTTCCAGAACTTCACCACGCCGTCGACGGACGAGGTGATGAGGAAGTCGGTAAGTGGTGTGACGTTGACGAATGCGAGTTGTTCCTTGTGCATGAGGGACTTGGAGTAGCGGGGGGATTTGGGGAGGGCGGCGACGTAGAGTTTCTCGTAGGGTAGGACTTTGCGCTTCTTCTTGGGAGCTTGCGAGGGCAGCTGAGGGCCCATATCGTCGTCCGAGGAGCTGTCTGTGGAAGAACGGGAGGATGAGCTTTTGTAGCTTTTGTCATAGGTGGAGGGGGGAATGTTCAATGCGTACCTGAGGCATCTTGGTCCGCAAAGTCAGAGTGACTCCTCTTGTAAGACTTGGGATCTTCGTCGGCCATTTTGGGGGATGGGATTGTCGTAACAGGGAATTAGTGTCGTGGGATGCTGGAGGTAGAAGTTGGTTGTGAAGCTTTGCGCTCTTCACAGTTCAGGAGCTCAAAGTACGAAGTACCTTACCTTAGGTACCTAAGGTACCTACCTTACCTTACGGACCAGTTATCACTTTGTACCCTGTATCCATCTCAGGCACGGACCAATCAATAGTCGTTCGTGGGACGGGGGTTCATGGAATCTCAGCCGGCGACTAGACCCCCGGCGCTTTAACTAATACACCTGTGAGGATATTCCGACGGTTCCCTATAAGGCACTGACATCTCAGTTTAGAATTGTCTTGTGCAAGGTATATTTAGATATTTAGATACGGGAACAGGATACAAATTTATTTTAGAGGCCCCAGGTCGTATAGTATCTTAAGGCTTTAGCTTATTCCGAGCCTCTTAGCTGTCCTTTGGAATGGAGTCCAAGACCAATGTAAATAAGAGGCTCTGTCAGGCATGGAGTCTCAGTTTTGATCCTGGAGACTCAACCCTGTCTCCCCTCTTCTAGTCGCCTACTGATCTCCTTCACTTTTGCACGTATCTTATAAAGGTCCTTCTGCTCTTGCCATTCTTCACAACGAACCTATGGCATTTTTACTCATTCAAACTGTCATATGTTTATTGTGTTTGTTGTTATAAGGAGTGACAAGAGCAGTAGAACCTCTCCGAGATACCCAACTTATACAGGTACAGGAGACTAGCAGGCGACTAGAAGAGGGGGGACAGGGTTCAGATTGTTTATTAGGTAAGTATGGGATAACCACCGCCAAGACTGGATCGATTACTAATATATATCTACATAACAACGACCATAACAACGACAGCAACGACGACAGCGACAACGACAGCGACGTGCCCATCCTCACGCATCGCCAAATCGTCCCCATCCTGGCCCCTCGTAGGCCACGTCTCGCTGCGGGCGCGAGCAGTCCTATCTTGGTGACGGTCGGACTGCTGCTGGCCTTGCCGGTCCATGGGCTCACGGGGAGTACGAACGAGGCCCCGGTCATTTGGGTGCACGTCCCGAGTGATTTGTCTGAATCTCGCACTGGTGTGATGAATTTGATGCCTCGTGGCGACGGGCGATTCGTAGAGCCTGGTATTGATGTCGCGGACCGCCTAGGTCTCCTATGGGTGGTATACGGGCTGGTCGACCTGGTCGCGGTTGCGGTATATATCTGGATAACCGCTTGGCCGCGTGTCCAGGACGCCTGATACGGCGTGGACTTGGTCGGCCGCTAGCCTTAAAGGAATGACACCGCGGGGGGTTTAGTATTGCTGGAGTTTTGAGATTCTGGTTAATTCTCCGCGTTCCCCGCTCTCCACGTCGTGGTGCAATGTGAATGGTTATGTTGCTTACCATATCCCCCCTCCCTTTGATCATCTCGTCGCACTGCTCTTTGGTGGGCTCGGAAAGCTTTCCCGACGCTTTGCCTGTGAGGGAGAATTCGAGTAAACGGCAATCCTTCGGTCTGTGATAGTGCTGCTTGCGCTTGCATGGGCAGGTGTAGAGCTTCCTGGGTTGATCTGACTGATTTCCGAGAGTAGCGTATACTCCTGTGCCGCTCTTCGAAGTCGATTTCGAGTCGTTGATGTAGATGAATGTAAAATAATTATGTTGGAGGACTTTCAAGCGAAGTTAGCATTGAACTCTGACACTTGTTTGGGTGTCACCTACAGAGTAGATATATGCGCTAACTTGATGCTCGGTAAAGGGAATGGTGTTTGGAATATGGATGCTGTCGACTCGGTATGCCATGTGTGTCATGTATTAAGTATTGGACAGAGGAATCTCTTCGTTCGGGAAGTCGATGCACTGCCATCGTTATTAGCGCGTCGTTTACGAGGGAATCTCGACGTACACGATGGAGGATGTTACCTTCGTGATCAAGCCGACCAGACGAATGAAGCACGTAAGGGATCAAGAGATTATTATAAGAGGATAATCATCGGTGATCTTTGACTGTGGTTGTTCCGTGATTGCGGATGGGTATTCCTCCATAGGGGAGAAGTTAGAACTGGGATCGGAGGGCGATGTTATACATTATATGCATTTACTAACGCTTAGCCGCTCACCCAAGAAATGGGAAAGGGCAACAGAGTAACAGAGGGACGGAGGGACGGAGGGACGGACCAAGCTCGTACTTGAACAAGTAGTAGGGTGGAAGTGGCGCCGCCACCAGGTATTGAATTTGCCTTCTCGTGTCATGCTCAATAGACGCCTTCCTCATCTTGATATAAGTAACTAACATAATTCCTTCCCTCATTTCGACATTCACTTCATGCATGCTTCCCAATCGGTAGATGCAAAATCCATCAATATGACCGACAAACCAGAGTGGGAAGTCTATTTCGACACAGAGTTGGGACCTGGCTCCGATCCCGGAGATGACTACGTATCTGCAGTGGCTAAGCACGCAGCAGTCGGGTCATTGTTGCGGGCCCCTGAAGATGAAGACGACGCCCTCGTCGCGAAAAGAGCCGCGGAGCAGTTTCGCGCCTTCTACACGCAATACTACCACGACGAAGACCGTGGCTATCATCGGGCGCCGGACAATGAAGTTTATGGCCTGACTAACGACCTTACCCACTTAGCATTGTCGCTGGTTCCCATCATCCCCTTCGCAGACTACAAGCACCGTCGGCTATCCATGTTCGTCATTGATTTGAAAACCTTAGCTCCGCAAGAGTTTGACCCCAAGGTAAGGGTGGTAGAGATCCGTCCTCGCAGATGTACGTTTATGTACCTTATCTTCTCCGCTGACAAAAGTTTTTTTCGTGGCTACCCCTAGGACCCTCAGCTTCTGTTCAATGCCACGGCAGTCGGGGACGTCGTCTACCCGTTTTGGAAGAGGAACTACCGTAAGCATCGCCACCAGTCCCCCACCCCCCCCGGGCCCAAGTGAGTTGAAAACCTGACGACTAACAACTTCCCTGCGCTCCAGTCAGCGATCCGAGGCCGCGCAAGGAATACGACGAATGGATCAGCGTGTCCGTGTTTATGGCCCGGCTATTCGACGCGGGTATTCTAGGGAAGCAGGAGATGAATTGGATGATTCTCGACATTGCAGAAGGGCTCGAAACGAATGGCGAACGCACGTGGGACGGTCTTATCAGAGCGTGCAAGCAGGTTGTTGCTACGCAGTATATCCTCATTGCCGGTCATTTCCTTGCCTCCTTGGCAAGGTCCTCGACGAAGATGGGTGGTTATTCGTTGGATGCCGACAAGTGGAAGAGGTGGGCGGCCAAGCTTAAAGAGTTGGCAACTTCGGCGTCGGATGAATGGGGATTGAGAGAGGCGGCTGCTGCTGCCCACGAGAAGATGATTCACCTGTATCCTGAGGCGTTTGTCACGTCGTAGTAGCATGACGCATGGCCTTTCATAGGGGTGCATTCCCAGGACATCGAAAGGACGAAGGAGGATTGCCAAACTAATCCCATCCCTGTGACACAACCTGGATGTAGATTGATCGAATCACCCCGAATTAGAGGCTGTAATGTAGTTATCCTTCTTGGCTTCTGGACAGTACCGAGGAACTAGCATCATTGTCAGAAGCAGAACGACGTTTCCGTACCTTATACGTCGAGTTCAAGATCTGCCGGAAAAAGCCGTGAGGGGGGTGGTAAGCTGGGTTTCAAGGGGGGCCCCACCCTATAGTACCACTCTGACGTTCCCTAGGTATCTTAGTCAGGATTCCCCGATTTCGTTCGTACACGGGTGACCGAGAAACCCCGAATATCCGTGGCTTGATATTCGTATAAATCTCCCCGGACCGCCACCTTTGCTCGAATCAACAACAAATTGGCGAACCAAAGGGGTGTTGAAAAGAAAAAAAAGAAAAAAAGAAAAAAAGAACAAAAAAAGGGACAAGAGACACAATGACCCGCCATCCGCTTCAACGCCTCGCGGCCCCCTCGCGGACCTTCTCCCTGGCCCTACACACGGCGGGCCTCGCGTCGTTCCTCATGTCGTTCCGCTTCCTCAACGAGCTCCTGCACCCCATCGCCCACGGCTTCGGCGGCAACTACCAGCACCTGACCAACATCGGGCTGGCCCTGTCCTTCGCCACCTTCGTGGCCGCCGTGCTGGCCGACCTCACCCTCAGCCCGGCGCTCTTCCGGCTGAAGAACGTCCTCTCCGTCACGTCGGCCCCGCTCGAGGTGCTCATCACGCTGCTGTACTGGGGCATCCGCGCCGTCGACAAGAAGCTGCTCTTCCCGCCCGACTTTGAGCTCGCGCTGGTGCCGGATCTCAGCTTTCATCTTGCCCCCGCGGTGGCGCTGACGCTGGACTTGCTGCTGCTGAGCCCGCCGTATACCGTCCCTGCGTATGGCGCCATGGCTATCAGTATGACCATTGCGTTCCTGTACTGGGGGTGGGTGGAGTTTTGCTTTAGTTATAACGGATGGTTCGTTTTTTTTTTCTTTTTTCTTTTTTTCGTCTTCTTCTTTTTTTCTTTCTTCCTTTTTCATTTTCTTTGCCATTGAAATCCTTCCTCCCCCGCGCCCTGTTCTCCTTTAACTCGACCCGCAGGTATCCGTATCCCATCTTCGCCGTCCTCGACACGGCCCAGCGAGTGGTCCTGTTTACCTTTTCGGCGTCTCTCATGACTGGTAGCACCGTACTGCTGAAATGGCTGTATGGTCGCATCAACGGGTACGGGAAGATGGAGAAAGAGGCCCATAAGCCGCTGAAGAAGGTCCAGTAGGGGAGGTATCTTCGGGGGGCATGCGACGTGCCGGGGCCTTGGTTTGTAGTTGTCTTTGTCGTTCGAAAGACCACCAGGGAGCACTTTGATTGAAGACCAAGATGGAAAGTTAGACAGCATCACAGAGTAGCGCAGCCCACTGCATCCTTCACATGTCATGACATGACCTCAACAGCAGGCATAGATACTCGGTAAAGGTGGCACATGAATTTCACACATATAAGGAGGTTGTTCAGTTTAAGAAGGGAACCAGGTTTAGTAGCGTGTTACTACCGTACGTCCTACGTATCGTTACCGTGATACGGATGAAGTATCTCCAGTACGAAGTACAGACAAGTACGTAAGGTACCCCTGCAACTGAACCCCCCATGCACCCCTATCGCGCTCTGGGAGCTAAAATTATTTTCAGGACTGGAACGCGCACCAGGAAATTAAAACGGCAAAACATGCAACGTACGTCTGGCAATTCCGACAACGAAGCTATCCCGTAACTTCCACAAGACACAAGCGGCGGCGGGAGCAGCAGCAGCGAGACAAAAAGCAGCACGACAGGAAGAAGAAGAAAGAGGACAAAAAAGAGATCAGCAGGACAAGTCGCACCCAGCAGACGAGACCATTTCATCACCTGACGTGACGTGACTCGACTCAATCCAGACCGACAACTCGTCGTCATCTTGCAGAAAACCTGCACCGAACCATTGCAGCCACCGCGCATCATCACACGAACGTGGTCTTAACTGCGTTGCCGCTCTTTTCCACACCACTCGCTCCCTAATACCATGCAGCCCTCCATCTCGGCCCGCCTCCTCTGGAGGAACCTGCCTCGTGCTGCATCCCGTTGCACGTCCTCTGCTCCTGCTCCTGCTCCTGCCTCTGCTCCTGCCTCTGCCTCCTGCTTCTCGACCTACGCCACAAAATCTGCAACACCATTATCCTCTCATCTCCTCCGTTCCTCGCGCCGCGCCTTCCAGCTCCAGCAGCAATCACAACGTGCCTACTCCTCGTCCGGCATCCCTCCCAAGGGCGGCATCAAGTTCTGGCCCTTTCTCGTCATCCTCGGTCTCTGCAGCGGAGCCTATACCCTGCTCGTAAAACAAAGAGCTACTGAGGGTAACACCCCCCCTCCCCAACTGCCCCCTTCCTCTCTTCCTAAGAAGTCCAAAAAACCCAGTCGATAACAACAGCTAACATGCCATAACCTCATCCCAGCCGCATCCGCCTCCAAGATGCCCGCCGTCGAACCCCCCAAATCGTCCGGCCAGCTCCCCGCCCCGTCCAAACCCGCCCCGACCTTCTCCCCCGACACCACCACCGTCATCTTCGTCCTCGGCGGCCCCGGCGCAGGCAAGGGCACCCAATGCGCCAACCTCGTCCAGAACCACGGCTTCACCCACCTCAGCGCCGGCGACCTCCTGCGCGCCGAGCAGGACCGCCCGGGCTCGCAATTCGGCCAGCTGATCCGCGACTACATCAAAGACGGCCTGATCGTGCCCATGGAGGTGACGGTGCAGCTCCTCGAGAACGCCATGGCCGACACCATCCGCGCCGCCGCCGGCCCGTCCCCGAAGAAAGAACACCGCTTCCTCATCGACGGCTTCCCGCGCAAGATGGACCAGGCCTTCAAGTTCGAGGAGGCCGTCTGCCCCGCCCGCCTCGTCCTCTTCTACGACTGCCCCGAGGCCGTCATGGAGGCGCGCCTCCTCGAGCGCGGCAAGACGAGCGGCCGCTCCGACGACAATGCCGAGAGCATCCGGAAGCGGTTCCGCACTTTCGTCGACACGAGCATGCCGGTCGTCGACCACTACGATAGCCAGGGCCGCGTCGTCAAGGTCGATGCCACCGCTGCCCCGGACGTCGTGTACAAGAAGACTGTCGAAGAGCTGAAGAAGAAGCTCGGCGATAAGTTTTGAGGCGTCTGCGCAGGCGTGACTAGGGTCTCGGTAAGGAGGTTGGCTGTCGAGGGTCAAGGGTCCTGATCTACCGCCGCCTGTTTCTGTGCTATAGACATCTTTCTTTCTTTCTTTCCTTTTACTTCAGTCTTCTTCTTTTGTTTAAGTACTACCATTTTGCACCCCTAACGCTGAAATACTTGTGGCGAGGGGGCTTTTATTTGTCTTTCTACGTAATAGACACCATAGACCCGAGCACTTCGCTCAATACCATTTCCTTCTGCCTCTGTTTTAGTTCATGTTATTACCGTATCTTGCCAGCCAGACACCCACATGTGACCACGGAGTAGAACTACTGTCTGCCTTTCCACTTGGTCAGACAACCAGCCAGGTGAACCCCACTGTCTATTGAACCAACTTCCTCGCATTAAGATGCTCAGACATGCACAGATGGTCAGACGCACCGACATATTTGGTAGGTTTCCCTTTTACCATTCGTTCATGCCAACCTAGCCAGCCAAGCCAGCCCTACCCGCAATGCAGAAGCCCAGCGCCTAAAGCCGAAGCGTAACCTAGGAACCAAAAAGGTAGACACACGACGGCTTCCTTGTCCCCCATTTCGCCCCACCTTGCGAAGCATTTATACCACAGAAACGCAGCCGTCATGGGTAACACCCTTCTCCTTCGTCCCGAGCTCCGGGGGCGGGTTTTTAATCGCAAAAGAACAGGTTAGGATCGTCATCAGAGAGCGTCTCGTCTCGTAATATGATCAAGGGAGGGTGCAGTCTCCTCGTTCGTCTTCTTTTCCACGTTTCCTCCCCTCCTCATTTCCCCACACAACCTCTTCAATCCTCATCCTCCGTCCTCAGTCTGGGTTCCCGAGGCTCCTTAGGCTCCCGGTGAGGACCGTCCCTACGACCACCGCGTTGCCGACCGCCACCACCACCGCCGCCGCCGCCGTTACCGCTATCCAAGCCCTGCACCTTACGCTCGAGCTCCTGCATTTCCCTCTCCTTCTGCGCCCGCGCGTTGCCCTCCTCCTTACGGACGACATCGAGCAGGTTCGCGAGCGTGCCGCGCCACGAGTTCAGCCGGGTAGCGAGCTCCTGCCACTGCCGGGTACCAAAAACGCGGTAGGTGACCTTGTGGACGAGGAAGGCCTGGTCCTGCTGGGAGAGCTTGCCCTCGACGAGGCCCGCGCGGATGACGTCGATGGTCCACATCTCGACGTCCTCGGACGGGATCTGCAGCGCGCGGGCGACGGCGCCGTACTCGATGCGGCGGCTCGTCGTCTGGGCGCCCAGGCTGGCGAAGGTGAGCAGGCGCATCTTGCGGAGGAGCTTGTCGTCGTCGAGCCCTTCCTGCTCGATGAACCCTTCGTGCTCGTCGTTGAAGTCCTTGTAGTCCTCGAGGTCCTGCTCGGCGAAGATGTCCAGGAGCTGCGCCCAGACCGGGTGCGTCTCGTTCAGGTTCTGCACGCCGGGTATGCTGCGGAGGTCGTTGAAGAGGAGGTGCGTCGGGGACAGGAGGGCTTCCTTGACGGCCCGCAGGGAGAGCTCCTGCGCCTCCTCGGAGCCGAGCTCCTCCTTGTCGTCGGCATCGAAGGTGCGCAGCGCTTTGAGGAGATATTCAAAGCTATCTCTGTTTGTCCAGAATTGTCAGTATGAAGGAATGAATGAACTTTTTCAGCTTTTTTTTTTCAACCAGAGCGAAGCAAGAGTAAGGGAAAAAAGGGGAAAAAAAAAAAAAAAAGACAGTATGCACTACTTACTCAGCATGGCCGGCCTCGGCCGCAACGTCGGCAATGTCGACATACATAGTCCGCTGAAACTCATCACCCGTGTTCCAGTCCTCAAACCAAGCAGGGATGTGCTTCAGATACGGCTGCAGGACGTCAAACATGGCGTGCGACTTGAGGAACTTGAGGATGGCCGAGAAGACGTTGAAGCGGATGGGGTTCTTGGGTTCGATGAGATTGAAAACGGTAGTGAGGGCGTTGAGGCTCAGGTTGACGCCGTTGACGGGCGACGACGGGATCGGTTTGGCGAAGGCTTGGCACAGCGCCGGCAGGTGCCTCTTGGGCTCCTCGGCCTGCATCACGAGGTGGATCATCAGGTTGGACGCCGCCGTGAACTCCTTCTCCGGGACCGAGTTGAGCGCCGCCGACGCGCGCACCAGCTTGGTCAGGACCTCGTCCCGCTTGCTGTCATCTTCGGCCAGGGGCTTGATCTCGTCGACGACGTTCAGGTATTCGGCCATCTCGGTCGCCAGCTCCGCGAACGTGCCGTCCACGAAGAGCAGCTGGGGCTGCGCATTTTGGGTGGATCCGGCCGCCATGATTGCGTTTCAATCTCTGTCGCTTTGGCCCCGCCCGACGAATTTACGGTTGGGAGTTTTGAAAAGAGGGGCGCCAGGTCCGATGTGATCGTGTTGGGGATGCCTCGGCGTGGAGGGGATGAAGGGCGAGGAGGAGGAGGGGGGTGGGTTTGGTTCGAGATGTTTCGCCGGTGGTTGTCGAAGAACGGGTGTTGCTTCGATTGTGGCCCAGCGGGGTCTCTTGTTTCTTGCGTGGGTGGTGAGTCTGGATGGTCCTTGCAGTGTGCCCACCGGAATTTTTTCTGCCTGTGCGAGGAGGGGCGCTAAACCGAAATAGGACCTCTACGCGAAGGCGGTGACCCGGTTGGGACCGGCAAATCTCCGGCCGGCAGTTTCCAACAACTGTCAATCATTTTCAAGCTCCCAACCACCATTGACACGATAAGCTCTTGATACTTCAAGGGAGAGAATGCTGCTACGCTATCTGAAGCTCTGGAAACATACAACCTTCACCTACCTTACGTACTTTACATAACTCCGAAACGGAACCGACACCATACTTCTGATACAACCAAAGAGGTAAAAATAATTAATCAGGGACCTTTAGGTACCTTAGTGAGTCCCGCGACAACGCCGTACCCCTTTCGGTCTAGATGTTGGATGCAAACCCCGTTCTGTCGACATTAAATGACAACCCCTCCACAATGTCCCGTCAACTGCCTGTACCTAGAAAGGGTAGTAACGGCTCCCACCAAAGATGGTTCTGCCTAGTCTCCAATATATAATAGCTCGGCCTAGCCAGCCAGTCAGTTGCGCCGAGCCTGGACAGACCCTCTGTCCCCGGCTCAAGCCCCGAATCCCTGATAGTCCATTCAGAAATACAATGACGAAACAAACCAGACCTCAATACTAGAAACCGTACAATCCATATACGCCCTGAGACAGGGACCCTGAACACAAAAGTCCCGCTGCGGCTGGGTCACAAAAGTCACTGCCCCCTTCACCGACGGTCCTTGCTCTTCTTCTTCACATCCGTTACGTCTGCTGTCGAGTAAACGCTCTTATCGTCATTCGAGAACAGCTGCTCGTCCCCCTTGCCCCCCATGGCCACGAACTCACCAACGGCCCGGTTATGCGCTGGTCCCGGCTCCTTGATCGCGGAGGCCCCGGCCTTGCCCGCCTCCGGCACGTCGGGGTTCTTCGAGAAGATCTTAACGGGCGTCTGGCTGTCTCCCACGGGCCGAGTTGCGACGTCCACCGTGTTGAGGGACGCGAGCAGCGTCCGCTCTCTAGTCATGCCCCGCCGCTGGACTTCCAGCCCCCGGATGCCGCCAACCAGGCCATCCGTACTGTCGTAGACGTTGGGCGGGCCCTGGGTCACCCATGGATGGGCCAGGCATTGGTCGATCGTGTAACGTCGTTCGGGGTCCACCACCAGCATCGAATCGATCAGGTCGACTGCCATGTCGTTAGACTCATCCCTCTTTTTCTGACAAAAAAAAATTGGGGAATGGGATGTGAAAGGCGAAAGGTAAAGGACGAAAAAGAGAAAAAGCATAGTCGAAAAGTCGGGGCTACTTACGAGCTGGGTCGCCAACTGAGTCCCAGTAAGGCGACGGGTAGTCGAACCGACCACTCCTGATCTGCTGGGACAAGGTGTAGGGGAAATCCTTGGAGAACAGCTCATCGGAGAATGGAGGAAAGCCGCACAGACAGATGTACAATACCACGCCCAGAGACCAGACGTCCACGGCCTTGGTGTACTTGCGGTGCTTGGAATCGGCCAAGATCTCCGGCGCCACGTAACTAGGCGTACCGCAGAGCGTTGTGGTGAATGACTCCTCGCCGATAATCTTGGCTAGGCCAAAATCGGCAAGCTTCACACGGAGGTCCTTGTCCACCATGAGAATGTTCTCCGGCTTGATGTCTCTGTGGACGATATTTCTCTCATGCTGCTCCGGCTCGTGTCAGTCTGGCAGTTCGCTCACCAAAGAGGTGGGGGCAGGACGAAAATGAGGAGTGCGAAGATGAGAAGAAGGACGAGGAGGAAGGGAATACGAACCAAGTACTTGACGCCCTGGAATAGTTGAATAAACAGCTTCCGGGTTTCGTTTTCGGTGAGTTTCTGCTTCTGCACTATAAAATTGAACAGCTCGCCCTCGGAAGCGAGTTCCAAGACGAGATAGACGGCATTCCGCTCGTTGAACGTATCCTTGAGGCACAGGACGTTAGGATGGCTCACGCCCATGAGAACCGCTATTTCCTGCTGCAGACCGTCCTGCTTCGTCCTCTCCTCCATGCCGGGCGTCTTGGTGAAGACCTTGACGGCGTAGCGCTGACCCGTCGACTTCTCGACGCAGAGGAACACCTCGGCAAAGTGCCCCTTGCCCAGCTTCTCGAGCAGGGTGTACGACTGCAGGAAGGCGCTGGTCTGGCGGGTCTTGGGATACCGGAAGATAAAGCGCTCCTTGTCGAGCACGGCGATCTCGTCCGACTGCTGCAGCTCTCTCCGTTGGTTTCGGCCCAGGAGGGCTTCGTTGACGAAGGTGCCGTTGCTGGAGAGGTCCTCGACGATGGCGACGGTGTCTCCGCCTTTGTTTTCGGTGAAGATGAGGCAGTGCCGGTTCGATACACTGGCGTCGTCCACAACGATGTCTATACGCAACGGTCAGCGACGCAGCCCAGGTCATTTTTCGTAAGAGAGGAGGTCAAACAAAAAAAAAAGAAAAGAAGAAAAAAAAAGAGGAAAAAGAAAAATCACTACTCACCACATTCGGGATGTCGACCGATCAAGTACCCGCCAGCCACATTGCCATTGGCATCCCCTGTCCGCAAGGGCGACTTTCCCTTCCTGTCCGCCGTCCCACCGCCGCCGGACGCCTTCGGCAAAGGGCAGGACGTCCGCTTCCTCATCGCGATAGAGGGACCATACTTGGCATTGAGCGGGAGCAGGTACCCCCATACGCCCTCCCTCGCCTCGTCCTCCACTTCACCGGGGAAAGTGTCCCTGGTCTCCGGCGGGTACTGGGAAAACGCCTGCGTATCCTGCGGCGGCGAAGACAGGACATTGGTCTGCGACACGGTATCCTCCCTCGGGTTCACCTGGCTCGGGCGGCCTTGGGGCGGCGTGGCCGTCGGTTCCTTGCGCAGGGCCTCTTCGGACTCGGACTCGGTGGTGCCCAGATGGGTCAGCGGGGAAGGCAGGTGCTGTTCGTGTGTGACGGGGGTCTTGTTGGCGGCGCCCTTGGCCTTGGTCCTGGCCTTGTTGTTGTCCGGGGCGGCAGCAGAGTTGGCGTTGACGGAGAGCCTCTCGGAGCGGCGGGGCTTCTTGGAGTCCAGGTCGTCCTCCGGAAGCGAGCCCTTGAAACAGAGGCCGCGGTCAATCAGGGAGCGCCAGAGAGCTGGAGAGAACAGGGCCGGACTCACTCGGGGGCGCTTCAATTGGCTCTTCTCGGCGCGGGGGGGGGCCATCGCCTTCCGTCTGGGTGGGAAGCACGAAGGATGGGGGTACGAAGCACGGCGCACGAAGCCCTGGTGGACAGGAGCGAGAAAACACGGAGCTGGGGATGAAGAGCGACCAACAGCAACCAAAAGTAGCTATAAAAAAAGAAGAAAAAAAGAACAAGAAGAGGAAGAAGAAGAAGAAAAATATAAAAAAGCGCCAACTGTGCTGTGCTTTGACACCTGAGCCGTGACAGTAGTCGGCTAGGAGAGGTCGGAAAGGTAGGTTCCAGAGGTTCGGCCCTGTCGGGAGTGACGCGAATAGAACTAGGTAGTTATTGAAGGTATGACGACTCGGGAGACTAAAGAAAAAGGTTCTAACGAGTGTACCGGGGGAGAAAGGCTCGAATGAATCTAGTGTTACTTGAACTTCGGCATAAATGAGAGGGTTGACCGGGGACTAAACAAGCCGAATCATGGGCGGGCCCTCGATGATGCGTAAAGTAAAAGAAAGTAAAGATTGGATAAGGAGTCAGAGCTGTTGGATACCAGCGAGCTTTTCAGGGTGCTGATGACCTGTGCTCTCTGGAGAAGCAGTGCAGAGGTATCTGTACCTAGCATACCTCGCATTAGCCCACCTTCCAAACGTCTTTTGCAGTACCTTAGTGTATGGAGTACCTGTGCTGGGTTCGTGGGAGAGAGACGGACCCACTGTTCTGTACGAATTGGTACACCGGGCAAGTGCCTGTGCGTAGGGCGCAGGGGAACGGGGAACGGGGAACGGGGAACGGGAGGGCTTCAACGGCAATACAGTGGTGCAACGTTCCTATTAATTGGTCGATGTGGCGGGGCAAAGTCGAGGGCGAACAAACATGCGTGCGTCCCCTTTCACATCTTGGGGGGGACGGGACGTTCTGAAAGGACCCCAAAAGGAAATGGAAAAAGCACGAAATATATCGCTCTGCCTGACTTTTGAACCCTCTTGGCTCGGACTCGTGACTAGTACCTGTATGGGATACTGACACCCAGCCCCGCGCTGCCTCCGGTGTTTATGATGGTTATAATGACCAAAACGACTGACCACAACACAAGCCTTTGGTCACGAGCAGCAGAGAGGCAAGCCATGGTAGTGGCTGAGCAGAGCACACAGCACGCACATTTGGCAGTATAAGTGCTGTGTAGTCTCCCTGTGTTGTCCTGCGTTTCAGGAGTCCAAGATGGGGTTGTACCAAGTGGCTGAGGTTGGTCTTTTTTTCTCTTCGGCCTTCTTTTGCCTTCTTTTTCCTTTTTAGGACCTAGGTAGGGCTAAAAGTCAGGTCCTAGCTCCCGCGAAAATAGGCAGCAGGCTCTTATCTGCTTGGGCGGGGAAAGAAAATACGAACCTTTTAACACAGGTACCTTACCATGACTTCGTATACCTTGGTACAAGAATAATCGATCGTAATACCTTAGTAAAACCACGGAAATGCGACGTCTATCATTACGTCCGTCCCAGAGGGCACATGGCCTTGTCATGTCTTGCTCGCTTTACCCTCAAGTCTCGGATGACCTCCTCTCCACTAACACAGCTCTGCTGACCTGGGGGTTCTTTTGTTACGCAACTAACATCATACCCTGCTCATAAAACTCCATCGAGGTATCAAGGGAAAAGATAAGAAGAAAAAAAAAGAAGAAAAAAGAAAAAAAAGAAAAAAAAGAAGAAAAAAAGGAAGGGCTCCCTAAGACTCAGTCGATGCCTCAAATGTTTCCACGCCCGAGTGGCTTCATCGTGTCATTACCATTAACCAGGCCTTATCTACACAAACCAACTAGCAAGACCTGCAGCAAACGACCTCCCTTTCTCGTGCGTAATGCGTCGATACCTATCCGGCCAAACTGGCGAAAGTGATATCCGCCGTGTCCTTCATTAGTTCCCTTCCAACCCGGCCGTGATACTTCATCTCTTCTGACCGAGGGCAGAGAAGGCCCCTCCCGCACAACAGATATAAAGTGCAGAAGAGCACATATATACGTCTTTCGGCTGAATTAGTTGAAAGAGCAAGAAGAAAGAGAGAAAAAAAAAAAAAAAGCAAACGCGCCGACTTGACCTCGTACTGTCCAAACCAGACGTACCAGTTCGATCGCTTTCCCATCAGGGAAAATCAAGAATCATCATGGAATCATCATGTGCGCCGGGAGCTCCCCCTCATTTGTCCTCATCACCCTTACCCTTTGCTTTTCCTGAATGTGTCCACCCATCGTAGCCTGTGAACCCGGCCGTTATGATCGTCCACCATCCAACACGTGCGGTCCAGCGACGGTGATCGTCGTACCACCCGGTCCTGCGCCATGCAAAGATGGAAAGTGGGCAGCCGGCTCAAACAAGTAGGTCGCTACCTCTCCGGAATTGGGCTCTTAGCCAGACGCCCGCCAGCGCTCACTCTCTTCTGCAGCCTCGCTTCCTTCTCCTGCTGGTACCGCTCACTCACGCTTAGATTCGGCCGCAGAGTCCCCACCGAGTCGCCCGCAAATCCGCTCGCCCGGCCCCTCTTCTGCTCCACGTACATCTGGGCCCTACGGCTCAGCGGGAATGCCGGCATGCTGGCTGGCATCTCCGCCCCGTTCTGCATCAACAATTCCGCTACCGGAAACGAGACCGGCTTGTCAGGCTCGGGCTGTTGACCTCCGGGCGGAGAAGGCGATGCCGGGTCGGCTGCGGCCAGCGCCAGGAATACCGCATGTGTGCCTCGTGACTTGTCCGTAGCATTCGGGTTCGCCTTCAGTGCCAGCGCGTAGATGACCTGCTGTATCTCGTTCTTCTTGATTCCTGCCAGGAGCGTCTCCTCCGCCGTTGCGTACCGTGACAGCGTAGGCGATAGGGGCTCCACAAATGCCCTGTCCACGTACTTGGCCGTGATAAACCTGAGCCGCTGCTCTCGGGTTGCCTGCGGCCCCGGCTTGACCGCCGGGTCGAGCTTGGCTTCCCATACCATGTTCGCAACCCGGTTACCAACGAGAAGCAGCAACTCGACAATATCGGGCGTGAAGGACGTGATGTCGAGCGTGAGAGACCTCACTTTGCTGATGTGCGTGCCCAGGGATCGGTGAATGCCGCTGCACTCAATGCAGAGGATGACAGCCAGGTTGATCGAGACCCATTCGACCTTGGCCCCGGACCCGCAGTCCACACACCAACAGTTGCCTTGGTCGTTATTGCGCAGCATCTGAAGCAGCTTGTCTGGGTTGTCGTCGTAGCCGGAGCTAGGTGCGCGCGATGTGGCCGGCCTCCCGCCCACTGTGATACGCCGAGCCGGCGTGCCGCTACCGGTGCTCGTAGTCGCGCTCGCGTGATGGTTACCATGTCCCGACGGCCCCTTACCGGTCAAAATGGACCCAATGTCCCTCTTGAGGCTGCTCGAACCGCCGCTGGAAGGTGGCGGCGATAGGCCAGGCTTCTCGAGCAGACGCCCTTCTACCGCACTTTGCAAAGCGTTGTTGATCGACGTAATCCAGCTGTTCATGTCCTCCTCCGATGTGGCTTGATACACGCGTTTGTACTGGGGCGTGATGACCTCAAAGCAAAAACGACGCTCCGCATTGCGGGCTTCTCGTACTGACGCCATTCTAAGATCGATGGGATCCATGTGTAGATCGAGCTTCTGCTTCCAATTGCTGTACTCGGAGAGTTTTCCCTGATCAAGAACAATCCAGAACCTAGGAAATCGTTAGCAAAAGCTGGGCGATCAAGGACAGAACATCTCCGGGGAAGGGAAAAAGACGAACTTGTGCCAGCCCTGCTTGTTCAAGTTGCGCGGGTCTACATGACTTCCCGGCCTGCTCATGGCCCATAGGAGGCCTTCTTTTCGCTGCGAGTTATTCCTGTCTGCGATCACCAGCTGAGCGTGATCTCTTTCCTCTAAGTCACGTATGCCCTTGAACTTGGATGCCGCAGCGGGGCTCCCGAGGTTTGAAGCGCCGACACTACCTGGCGATCTGGACAGCTCGGCAGCCCCTACAGCTGATGATGCGTTGGCGCCGGTGGCGACACCCGTCCTGAGCTGAGAACTGGTGCTGTCGGCCCGGCCCAGCTCGCTGTCTGAGGTCGAGGCATTCTGGCCATTGACAACGGAAGTGTACGCGTTGCCCGCGGGAGGCGGCGATGTCAGATCGGGATCCGAATACGGGTGGTTCCCTTTTTCGAGCAGCCGCCTCTTCTCCTCGCGCTCGCGTCTTTGGTACTGGAATTCTTTGTCTGCCTCGTGAACCTCGTTGGTGAGGGCCTCCAGTTGCGGAAGCAGGGCTTCGATCTTTTTGGCTGTGTCAAGAAAGCCCCTCGCCTGCGCGTCGGCATATCGCGTGAGATGGGAGAGAACCTCCTGCTCCTTGCGGCCGCCGTGCAAGTCCTGCATGAAGCTGGAGTAGTCGAAGCGTCTTAGTTCAAACGTGCGACGCTTCGCTTGATATTTCGTATCACTTTCGGCAAGTTTCTTGGCCTTGACCGAGTCGTGCCGCTGGCCGAGATAACGAGAAAGATATGCATAGTAGTCCTTGCTCTCCTCTTCAAAATCCCTTTTCTTGTTCTCGGCCTGTTTTATGTCGAACGTGTAGACCTTGCTCAGAGGCTCGATCACGATTTTCTGCAGGCAGCGCGCATTCTTCTGTTCATATTCCAAGATTTCCTTGGCAATCTTGTTGAAGTAGTGGTCGATCGCAGGCTGCACTGCATTTGCGTTTGTGGATGCCGCCTCGCGTAGTGCCTCCATAAAAGACTCGAATCTCGCGGTCGCTTCCGTCTGGGCTTCCTGCGCCTGCTCAGCTTTCTTCAGAACGCGCTTCATTTGCACCCGCATATTCCCCGTCTTTTGTTCCAAGGCCTTGATGGTGGCTCGGAAAACCGGCCCGTCGTCGCTGATGGTGACGTTGTCGTCGCCAGGTTTAGGGCACGCCACATCAACCTTGACTGGCTCTTGTGGAGGAGGCGGAAGGGGCTGCTGTACGGCCGTCAGAGGCACCTGCGATCCAGCGGCAGAAACGGGCGAGCCTGGTTCCTCCAACTCGATGTTACTGATACGGGAGTCGACAGATTGGGAAGATGCTACACGGATCTTGGGAGGCGGGGCGAGGTGGAAGAGCGGCGAAGGAGAGTTTGGGTGGCTCATGGGTGACGAGGTATCTGAAAGACATTAGCATATAAAGTCTGGCCGTTCTCAGATGCAAGTGCGGCGGAGGGTGTCGAGAACTCACTCGCTACCCAGTAAGAGAAACTCGCAAGGGTGTGCAGGCGGTGGGCGCGAGAATCGTATTCGACGAACTGTCCGTTTATCGTGTCAGAAGTGAGACAAGGCAGAGAAGAAAAGAAGTTTGCAGATTATACGCACGCTACACGAATTCCTCCAACCACCTCCCTTATCCTCGAAGTTCTTAGGCGGTTTCCACTTCCATGTCCATTCGAATGTGACGGAAGGACTACCACCTGTAGAGTAATCGCCCACAAGCTCGACATTGGCGTTCTTATGGAGATTGGGGTCTGCATGGAATTCGCGGGTCACCAGGTTCTCAACCTCGCGCGATGTGGAGGCGTAGACGTAGGTGAGGCTGCTGATGTGGGTATCAAGAGGTGCAAGGGTTTCGGGGGCATCGTTGGCGGTCTGGACAAGTTGCTGTGCCTGGCGAGTGATGAAGGAGAAGGTAAAGACGAGCTCGTCGTCGCTGTTGAGCTTGAGGATGAAGTTCGGGCCCGCGCTAGGATTCGATTGATCTGTGTCCTGTAGCCGCGAATGTTAGCCCGGTCGGTCGACCAAGAAATGAACTAGTGTTTCTTGGGTGCATACTCACTTGGATGAATTCTATGGGGGCAGTCTCGCCTGTGGGACGGGAAACGGTGACTCGAGAGGCAGGGAAAGCGTTGGGAGTTATTTGGATTGACGAGCCGGAGCGCGGGTTGGAAATGACTAATGACGATATCAAGACTAAAGCAGAGGAAAGAAGGTATGAAAGTCAGCTCAGCGCGCGCACATAGTAGAGGTAGGAAAGCAAAGGTATGCCTACGTCTATTCTGGTCTCTCAGATAGAGAGCTGCCCCTTCATCGGGGCGACTGCTAACGTTACCCATGTTGAGGCGACCATAAAAGAAGGCAATGGACAGAGCCAGTGAGAAGAGACGTTAATCAAAGTGATTATAGAGGTGGGAAAGCGGTGGGGGATATTATGGTGTGGAATCTTGGTCGCAAAGAAAACGTAGCACAATTGAAGTAAAGTTGGTGCAGAGGCAAGCGCGCGGATGTCGTGAATGTGACCCAAGATGTGAACAGTGGGCCATCAGCCGCATCAGATGTGCACGCAGTCGAAACAAGGAGGTTTAAGGACCGTGGCAGGTGCACAAAGGCGATGGCTTGGGGTTGGTGGGGAGGACAAAGTGACGAAGGACTGGCAAGTCACTATCTCAAGGGCATGTGGGGGGTTGAGAGTGTTGCCTGTAGTGAAAGGGGAAAAAAAGAATTAAAAAGGGAGAGAGGCTAATAGAAGGTCGAAGACGGAAATGGTGTAGTAACGGTGATCAAGACCTGTGATGCTGATTGTGCTGGCGATGGTACGAGTACTGGCAGAAAGCTTGGCTGCGGCATGTCTGCCCTGTCAGGAAGATGGATGAAGAAGTGGAAGAGGCTACACGGTGTCCCTCCGAAGGAAAGTGGGGATGGATTCCGTGGTGTTCAGATCAAGGCAGCCGAAATAAGGAGATCCGGCACTGAGATCAAATAGGGCTGGGTGAAGTCGAGTTGGACAAAGAAGAAGGAGAGGAAAAAAAAGTTGAGCCGAGTCACAGTCGCAAATCGAGGAAAGAGGCGAAAAGAAGAGCCGATAGTAGAAGAGGGGTACTGTAGATACTTTTAGTGACTGTTGTACCTATCTGCCGGGTAACGGTTCGGTGGTGGGCACGGGCACTGAGGTGGTGGGCTTCAGTTTCCTGCCTCGTGAGTCGGAACACAGCCTCCTTCTGTGTTTCTGTTGTTTGTCCAGGCCAGGCGTCAGCACTCCATGTTAGTAGAGGTTCATTAGCGTGTACCCGGTGTCGTGTTTGAAAGTTCCGACTGACGGATGCAGGTGACGTCGGTTGAATGGGTAAATCGGTAGTGGGAAGCTCGAAGTGTAAGCCGATGAGATGGGGAATGGAGGATGGGGTTGAGTTCGTGGAGAATCTGACTCTAGGGTTCAACTGGTTGTGGTGGTGACACAACGGACCAAGCAGTTAGGGGTGTGGGAGGCAGGAACGATTTAAGCACATGTACGTACATACACTTTCTGTACATACCCGTACCTAGCTGGTGATACCACGCATATGAATGACTACCAAAGTACTCCGCATGTAGTACCTCCTATGTACTGCATTGTAAATACCCCACCAAGGCGCTTGCCAATCAGACAGAGATACTTTCTTACGTGTTGCGCGTGACGCTGCTGCTCCCCTGAAACACCCTCATTTCTTGTACACGTACCGTACCTAGGAATCGCCTCAATTTCAAGGACAGCCGCAGGTGAAAAGTCGTACTGATATAACTAACTCGGGCTACGAAGCTTCGGTCAATGGATCGTTTCGTGATTTTACATCGCATTCTTTTATTCCCGTCAATAGGTGAATATTCGTTGAAGGGAGTTCCAAGACGGATACAAATTTCGTTTGGATAGCAGGTTTGATCCTCACCATCGCATGAATACGCTTGTTAGCCGTTGCCAATTCGTGTAGCATGATAGTTGTTCTTCCAAAGGCAATCGATTTTAAGCGAGTTGCGACTTGGGGCTCATTTCGGTTCTCGCATGGATGTACGAAGAAGGGATTTGGCGGTATTGACATGCGCACACTCATCATGACGTTGTTGCTGTTCGGTCAGCTAAGTTTATTAGCACCTGGGGGGTAGGAGTACCGAAGAACCCCTGCCGTTGCTGCCACAGACCTTCAAGCAGTCGGCAGGTCCATTGGCTGAAATGCTGCGTTGTGCCAGCAGCGGGTGGGGGCGCGTGTCACTAAGGTACCTTATGTACGTGTACCCTACGGAGGTACCTAAGGTACCTGTAATTACCTGCTCCGTCCGTCGGGGACTCCCTACCATCATCTTGCTTGGGTCGTACCTCACCCTAGGACCTCCCATCACCATCGCCCAACGTCACCAGCTTGACAACGCGTCTCCTCCGTGAATGAAAGCCACCAAACCCTCCGTCCAGAATATACCCCGTGCTTCCTTTGTTGAGCCATATTCGCGAAGCCGACAGCTCCGACACCCTATTCTCACGACGTTATAGGTCCCTCCCTTGCTCTTCATCGAAGCTCCAGCTCCGTACACTGCGCGGCAGTGGCCGCCAGGGAGGTCAACTCTCGTCCGCAATCGTCCCTCGACGCCTTGTGTTAATTCCTTCTCCGGTCACCCTCACCATCCTGCTACTCATCTCACTATGTCATCTGCCTCAACCCGTTCTTACCTGCATCGTCGCCTCGATAGCAGCAGGAGCACTACCCGGTCGAGGGCGTCTTCCCGAGCCCAACAGCAGACTGTCAGCTACGACGAAGCTTACTCCTTCGCCCTCCGCATCGCCTACCTCAATCATCTATTGCAGCCACCGACGAAGCGAAAACAATGGGTCCCGGCGCCGAAACCCGTTGAGCGGCAGAACTCCAGCGCCTTAATCGGCCAATTCGCCTCGGGCAGCGTCAGACTGCCCCATGGTTTTCGCCCCGACTTGGAAAAGAAGATGAAAGAGGTTCTCCAGGGCACGTCCCCGCTACCAGGCTATAACGATCCGGCCGTCAAGAGGAGCTTTGCGCTCGCCTTCAACTCCTTCACCGAGAGGGCGTTCCAAAAGTCGGTGGATAAGGACAGGAAGATTGAGCCCTACATCCTCATGTTTTACTCCTCCGCTCGCAAAGCGGCCCAGTCGACCGCCGCCCACAACGGTTCCGCGCACGACGACTCCTCGAAACTATTAGCCGACCGACACATCGCTCTGTTTGTGCGTTTGGTCTCCCATATGCTTCGTGAGAATGGGGCGGATCGGGACAGGCCCGAGCTCATGAGCCGCCTCGGCACCCTGGAGAACAAGCTCCTCACCAACGACCAGAACCTAGCCGCTGTCACCGGCCAAAACGGCGGCATAATGATCGAGGTCACTGTTCCCATCAGCCACGACGTCAAGGATATGCCCATGGTCTTGCTCGTGTCGCGCATCTTCGACCGCCAGCCCGCCGATGCACAGGCTGATATCGATGCCCACATGTCGATCTGGACCGAGAAGGCTGCTCTGCAGGATCTCAAGGCATACCAGCACAGGTTGAATTCCGCTGCCACCGGCGCGTTGCGCAAGCAGGACTTCGACCTAGACGAGGCGTTCGAGGCGTGGAAGCGGTCGGAGGCACCTCATCTCTCACAGATACTCCTCGACATCCTCACAGCGAAGCCTGAACTGGCCAAAGCCTCCTCCTCGTCCGCCTCGGCATCTACGGGCCTCGATAGCAAACCTTTACCAGGACGACCGCAGTCATTTTATGGGGACGATCAAGCATATGCTGACCTGGGCAGAGCCATCGCCAGTGGCGATTATTCGAGTCCCACGCTCGACCATTCCCTAAGCCTAAGCTCCCTATCGCTGGACGATGCCCCGAGCACAATCCGGACCGTTGACGACCCTACGTACACGTTCATACCCCCAGATCCCCGGGCTTTCTATAAATCGATCCTCTCTTACTGTATGGATCATGATCATCGCAATTCAGACCCCGAGCTACCGTATGCACCGTTATCCAAACACACCGTGGAATTTCTGGTCGAGCTCTGTGTATACTGGCGGGTGCCTCAGTTCTCGAGGCTGGTCGCGTTCCTAGAAGTAGCATCCAGGCGTTTCCTCGATCATAGAATAGGGGTGGATGAGCTGGCCATCTGCTTGGACTTTGTCAAGAGCGCGGGAACGGAATTCAAGAAGCCTCCTCACATTGAGCAGTATGCCGTTGGGCTCACCGGGATCGACCGGTCACTCTGGACGCTCCACGATTACGCCGCCCATCAGCACACATTGCAACTCCTTCATGATGCGCTCTTGCGGGATCTCTACGATCAGCTCCAAGGATGCTACGGCCAAAGTCCTCCCAATATCGGGATGGTTATGCACCTCCTCGAAAACCACGTCCAAAATGACCCCGGTTTCTCGCCGCGGTCTGGGCAAATGGAGGACTTTGCTACCCAGGTCAGCGAACGGCTCCGGAGATCTGCACAGGAACTCTATACGGCCATCGTCGAGGCTAAATTGCCAGATGACGCCGCGGCGTGGCAATTCTGCCATGTTGTGGAGATGGGCAAGCTGGTGGTCAGCCGCATTACCAAGATCCAAAAGCGGTACAGGAACGCGCCGGAAATCATGGGGGTGAGGCCACTGGCCATACTCGTGGAGAGTACGCTTCCGTTGTTCGAAAAAGACGCAGAACATATCATCGCAAAGTCCATTGAGACCGCCCAAACTAATGGAGAGGAGATTGACATCCAGGACGGGTTCGACTTGTACCGAGAGCTTGTGACGCTGCGTGGCCACCACCGCCAGTACCTACCAAACCAGCCCTTCGCATTCGACGTCGAGGCTTTACTGGAAGGCTTCGTGTGGAGGTGGATTAAGACCACAGAGGGTAGAATGCAAGAGTTCGTCGAGAATGCCATCAAGCAAGACAACTTCGGAGTTAGGCCTTCGAATGCGGACCAACCGCCTCTAGATGCCGAACGGCACAGCGTTTCCATTGTCGACCTGTTCATGCTGTTTAGGCAAACAGCTGCCCAGATCGAGGATCTGCACTGGGAGAACGAGTATCATCACGCCCGCTTCATGACGCGGCTGGCTCATTCGTTCGCTGTGGGGATCGAAAAGTACTGCGAGCTGGTCAGTAAGATTTTCGCCGCAGATATGGACCGGCCCTCGCCCGAGGAGCTCGCCACCGCGTCTCGGACAGCACAGGAAAAGTTCCTCAAGTATGCCAAAGATGCCTGGAACTCCAAGGAGAAGCCCACCCCTTACAACTTCAACTCACAGGTGCGTAACGAACCCATCCTGCCCAGGGTCCATTAAGTCGTAAAAAGATCATTCTAACATCCCGACCAGGTTTTTGTCATGCTCAACAATATCGAGTACGCCAAGCAAGAGCTCGATAAGCTGGAAAGGTCAATAAATGTGGATATGTGTGCCGAGATCATCCGTCAGGTGGAAGGTCCCAAAGCGCAGCCCAGGAAACCCAACAAGTATAACTTTACGGTCAAGGTCGTGGAGGCCGAGGACCTCAAGGTGTGCGACACGAACGGATTCAGTGATCCTTACGTCGTCCTGGTGGACGAGTGCCAGAATCGTCTTCACAAAACTAGAGTCATCCGTAAGAACTTGAATCCGCGTTGGGATGAGACCATAGACATCACGGTAACGGCGCCGATCACCATCCTCGCCACGATATGGGACGACGACATGTTCGGGGATCACGACTACGTTGGGCGGACGTCATTTAAGCTAGACCCGCTGCACTTTAGCGACTACATCCCCCGAGAAGTCTGGCTCGACCTTGACTCCCAGGGCAGGCTCCTGGTGAAGATCAGCATGGAAGGCGAGCGAGACGACATTGAGTTCCAGTTTGGCAAGGCATTCAGGGACTTGAAACGCACTGAACAGTCCATGGTCCGGAAGATTACTGACAAGGTGAGATCCGATCTTGGTCCTCCATGCTTTTTTATGTTTTTTGCCGAGATTTGAAAAGCGTACGCTAACAGGCAATCCATGGTAGCTTCGGGACCAGATCAACGCGACCATTTCGCTTGAGACGCTCCGAAACCTTCTCAAGAGCGGTGGCATCGGCGCGTCTGTGACGAGCCTTTGGAAGAAGAGGGCTTCGACGATGCCGGTAGTGCTGACACGGCAAGACATCGAAGACTCACTGGGGCCTCTCTGCGACTACTTCTTCGACAACTTTTCCGTCATGAGTCAGACATTGACGAAAGACACGATGCGGTCCGTCATGCTTCGCCTCTGGAAGGAGGTCCTCCTGGCCGTCGAGGGCCTTCTGGTGCCGCCCTTGTCGGACAAGCCATCGGAGCAGCGACAACTCAGCCAGAAGGAGATGGACACGGTGTACATTTGGCTGGACACGCTCTTCAAGTTCTTCAACGCCAAGGACGAGACGGGAGCGGAGCTGGGCGTCTTACAGAACGACCTCAAGTCGCCTAAGTGGCACGAGCTGGCGACGCTCAACTTCTTCTACTTCGAGGATACCAACAACCTAATCCGCGAGTCGGAGCGCATAGCGGCGGCTACGGCACAGCGGGCGCAGCAGGCGCTCATGCAGCACAGCCGGCTCTCGGCGCCGGTGTCCCTGGGCCCGGCTCCCACGACGGGGGCGGCGGCGTTCGGGAGCATGGGCACGATCCGGCGCGGGAAGAGCATCATGATGAGCCGTAACCTGGGGACGATGCGGCGGGCCAAGGAGGAGAAGCGCAAGGAGGCGCAGGCGGACCCCAACGACGACATGATCCTGCGCATTCTCCGCATGCGACCCGAGGCGACGTGGTACCTCAAGGACCGCAGCCGGCAGAAGGAGCGGCAGTCGGCGGCCACGGCTGCGGCTATGATTGTGAGGAACAGCGTTCATCAGGGATGGGCCACGGGGAGTGCGGCAAGCGCGCGGTCTTCTCCTAGGCGCTGAAGAGAGGCAGGCAAGGAATGACTTTAGCAGGCTCGGAAGATGATGGACACATCCAGAGTCGTGTGTGTGTTGTATTTTTTTTACGGCATGAATGGGGTGGCGGGAGGACGGGCTGGAGCTCTTTCTGGTAAATTGACATTCCATGATGGTTCGGTGGGTACATAAGCGAGCGCATGGGAAGCATGTTCTGTTGACTACAGGGATGA